AGAAACCAGAATTAACCGAAGTCTCTCCCAAAACTTAATAAGGATTGAGCTAAATCTTGCTGCTACTCAATTGATTATGTGTTTCAGTCCGCCTAATCATTAGTTGGGTAACAATAGTGATTAAAGAAAAAAAATGATTTTATAGTCTAAATCTAATATTTAAATTATTTAAATTTGAAAGAAATTCATTTTTTTTACGATATTTGTAATGATCCTTTCCAAAAATTAACCACAATTTTATTATTTAAAATTTATGAAATTTTAACGCGATTGTTTCACATTTAGCATTTTACACTTACAAAATTCTTTTTCATTAAACATATTGTCTGAAATATTAAAAAATGAGTCGTCAAACATTTTTTCTTAGCCCTAAGTTTAATAAAAAAGCCAATATATGATTCACCAACTAATAAGTATCAGGAGTTTACAAATGCCTATGTGTATAGTGTTATGGTTAAAACAATTAATTATGCTCCCCATCGTGCTGCTGTTTGTTAAGAGACCGTAAACGAGTGGAATAATATTAAGAAAAAGAGTGTTGATAAGATTGATGATGTAATTCAAAACTATATGGCCACATCACTTAATCTATATGACATACAGTCAATGAGATATAAACGTTCTGTGCTTATAGAAAAGTCAAGACCTTCTCCCTTCCTTCCACAATTAATTCAGTAAACCCTCTACCAGAAATTCCTGCCAATGCTTTGGCTCAAAGAAGAGCAGCGGATAAAATTCAAATAGCTGAAAAAATCATTTACGAATTTGAGCAGATTTACAATATTTCCAGTGATGCTCAGATTCGTATTGACATGCACCGAAAAATAGAAAGTATGCAGAATGAGATTAAAGCTAACAAAAATAGAATTGACAAGTTAAAAAAAATGCCAAATATGCTCAAAAATGCAAAGAAAAAAAATTGAATCAACTTATCGAAAACAAAGAAGTTGTTTGTTATGATAAACCTGGAAAGCCACCGCTTCTTTTCAAACATCAAGATTTACACGAAAATATACATGATTGCGTGAAATTTGGATCAGCTAATGCAAAAAAACGGAAGGAGACTATCAAAGTTCGGACAATAGAAAATTTGCGTAAAAATCTTGAAAAAAGGTACGAAATTTACATAGCAAGGACTACATTGAAAATTTACCTTTTACCCTGTCAATTAAACTAGATTACCGCAAAAGCACATCATCATTCAGCATGGGTCGTGGTCAATGAAATTTTACGTATTGAGATGTGTGAATATTTTGATAGTCATTATTACCTCGCATCAGTAAAATATGCAAAGCAATTTGCTAGCACTTTTGCTGATTTGTCAGTCGTCATCTCCCAAGATAACAAGGTGAAGATCAGACTTGGAACACCTGCAGTAGGTCGCACATTCTGTATATTACAATCCGTAAATGAACCTATAACTATAGCAGACCATGATTTTCCTATAGGATCTGGGCAAAAACTAGTTTCATCAGTATACTTGATGATAAATCCAAAAGAATCTAACGATGAATTGCGAACAGGAAAACTGGTGATTTTTATACGTCCCTAATGGTCTCTTGGTACATCTTCGCTTACGCATATGCAAGATTTGGAAAGCCTTACTTCGAATTCTCAATATGATGATATACTGAAAACGAACGGAATTATTTGATCAATATGGATTTTACTGGTAGACAGAGGGCCAGACGAGAATCCCAGGCATTTGAAGAACATAAAATCCTATTGTTAACTTTTTAAAAAGTTTGACTTGGATTTTTTAAGTATAAGTACATATGCTCCCGGCCAATCGAAATACAATTCAGTTAAAAGGGGCATGGCAATATTGTCTGGTAAACTCGCAGGTATTATTTTGCCAATTGACTATTTTGGTGTGCATTTAGATTCACAAGGAAAAGTTATAGACCTAAAATTAGCCGCTCAGAATTTTCACTATTCGGGAGAAGCTCTTTGTGAAATTTGGCGTCGTGATTTGATTTTTGGGAAGAAAGTCAATGCTTATTATATCGATATACTCACGAATTCATTTGAGAATATACAGTTCGAAAGAACATAAAAAGAAAAGGTTGAAGAATTAAAAAAAAGGGAAAAAGAACAAAAAAAATCAAATGATATTAATAAAGAAACAACACATACCCATTCTGAATGTTTTGTATCATGGTCCTGAATCAAAAAACATTGTAATTTGTGCAACTATTCACTTGATATCAAACGATACACGAATGCTAGCTGTTGTGAACCACCCAGAGTCAAAAAAGCCATGGATTTTCTTCATCTGTATAATGGCTTTTTACCACCAATTATCAAAGCTAAAGATGGCTGATTCACAAACCCGATTCACTTTCTTCAGTATGGAGATTTTCTGAAAATACCAGGTTATGATACCCACTGTACGTCTATTAAAAAAATACATACTTATGACTTTGCTGTCCTATTTGTCAAAAATATTTTCCCACTCTCACATTCTTAACAAATCATAAACGATTAATGCATCCTACTGCCTGAGAACAGCCTAAAAGACAGCGAAACTCATTTTTTGATGATCTTTTTCTCCTTCCAACTCAACAAAAGATGGCATATAATGAAGTGAAAATTGAGCCAAGGACTTGTAATTCGGATGGGAAATGAATAATTTTATTAAATGTATGCGTATATATTATATTGATCTATAATAAAATATTGTTAAGCTACTTTTATCGAAAGATTATCACGTAAATTATCATGTGATAATATGACTAGAATCACGTGATATTATTATTATGTGTAACCTAAGATCTTCGTTATCCCTCCTACCCTCTAAGATATTAGGTAATATCTGATAGCGCCTTTAATACACCCTTATAGAAAGGATATAAGTATATATTAAAAGAATAAATAAATAATATCATAATAAATATCCTAAAAGAACAACAACAAGCAAATAAAGTATTAATTGAAGAAAATGAAAACTTAAAAAAGCAATTTGCAGATAAAGAAGAAAATCTTAGACTAAAAATTTGACATATCACTGGTCAGTCTTTTAATGACAAGGGCAAAGTTAGTATGTATGCTTCTAGGGGAACATGATGATACAAAAATCTAAACAAAAAGTGAACGGATGAAAGCAAACTAAGAATGGCAATAGAGTCTCAGGAAACTAGAAAATGAGCTAAGAATTGTAAAAGAGTTTGGTTTGATAACATTACAATTGAAGAAATGTTAGAAGGGTTTATTGGTTATTCAAATGATTTAGCTTCAGAATATTCAGAAAGTTGGTCAAAAATCTCTGATTTGAATACTCAAAAAATTGAATAAAAGGAAAAATATGAGAATCAAATAGTAGAATTGGAACTAAAAAATGAAGAGTTAGAAACAAAGGTAGAAGAGTTTGATGATGAGGTATGAATGGAGCAAGAAAAAGCTGAAAAGTACTAAATACAGCCATGAAGTGAAGAAAGCATCAAATGTTTGAAATAGTGTTGAAATATGATGTTGTAATGGAAAAACTTCTGGATTGAATAGATTTGTTGGAAAAGAATTTGTTGGCTAAAAATCAAGAAATAAACTGAAGAGATTATTTAGCAACTAAAGAATTATCAGCTTTGCCAAAGCAACAAAAGGAAAATAGATTACACAATCTCAAAAAATTAGTAAGCATAGTTAAAGAAAAGACTAAAGAGAAGTTCCAAACTTTTATTGTTGTTAAAAAGAATAAGTAAAATGAGATTAGAATATAGAGTTTTGGAAATAGCAAAGAATAATGAACAAGAATGTAATTTTTTCTTTCTAGATTTCAATAATCCAACTAATTTCAGCCTTGATACTACTCCTGCTACTTATCAAATAGTAGGTCATAATACTCCTGATGATTATGCTAACATAGTTTTATTTGTGGTGAATGTAAAAAAAATTATGATAATAATACTCTTTCATGATGTGAAAAGTGTGATAGGTTAAAGAGAAATAGAAATAGGTGCTTTTGTAGTCATTTAAAAGCTAAATCAACTAAGCAAATTTCTGATAAAGAATTACTTTCACAAGCATTCAGTTCTCATTTAGAAATGAAAACTAGAGAGCTAAAAAAAGAGTTATCAACTGCTAAAGAAGGGTTAAAAATCGAAAGAGAAGAAGTAGCCAAGTTTCAGGAAAAATCTGAAAAGTGAAGTAAAAAGCAAAAACAGGAGTTATTAGATAAGGTAAAGGGTTTAGAAGAAAGAATTAAACAATTAGAAGAGAAAAACAGGAAATTAAAAGATCAACAGAATGGTCAATTAACTGCTCAAATTGAAGTCAAAGAGACTAAAAGATGATCTTGATTGAAAATAAAAAAGTAGTTTAAAGAAATTCTATATAAATTGAAATTCATTTCAACTATCAAAGAAAGAGTAGTTATTTTTCTTTTAAAGATTTTTGTTTTTTATTAGGTAATAATACATCATCATGATGCTTTCTTTTTCCAACATTTATTATTTTTCTTTTTTCTTGGTAAATTTCATAAGTAATCTTTTCTTTTCTTAGATAAGCTTCCAATGCTTGAGTATCATTTATTTTGAAAATATAAGGAACAATTTTTTCACCTTATTCCTTTTTTAAAATACTTCTAATGGTACTATAATTCTTGGGTTCCATAGTAGATCTTATATAAATGAGTTTCATATTAACTATTTTTATATAGGAGTAGGTATATATATCACTTAAGATAACAAATGGGATATTATAAAACTGTTAATAATTATAATTACATTACAAATAACTAAATTTTGATCCCTAAAATTCTTGGTAATACCAATGTTCACTTTGTCTGGTTTTGTTGCAGTATGTTCTATTTCTAAATAAGGATTCAGTTTATATATTTGTAATACAATTTCATTTAAAAAAAATCATCATGAAATTGCAACAGTTATTGGTAGTGCAACATCATTAAAAAAATTACAATACTAATGTTTCAAATGAAACTTATTTTACCAAAAGTGTTTTCAAATCAAAGTTTACAGATAGTTTCGGATATATGAAGCAAAATGTTTCAGCTTTGAGAAAATTGTTTCACCTATTGTTTCGCCTGAAATACTATACAATACACATAATTTATTATACTTAAAATTATTATAAATAGAATGGATTTTTTCTAAATAGATTCAAACAAATCTAAACAATCCAAACAAATGTTAAGAATTAAACAATTTATAAAACTCGAATTATTCTATAATAAAACAAATCATTTTTTCTATAAAAAATGGAAAAAGAACTTTATTTATATAAATGTGTATTATGTGTAAGTAAAAATGAAGATGATACATTTGTATCTAAACTGATATATACTCACTATCATAAAAGAGCTCAAATTTTATTACATCAAGATGATGAAAATATCAATTAAATTGAAGTTCATAATCAAGATTTTGATTTTGAATTTCATGAAAATATAATTGAAAATATTGATGATATTGAAGATTTTGATGATTTTGAT